ACAAAACATCTGTCAGTATATACTCTTTCATAATGATGCCAGTGCATACAGAGGGCCTTGATCCATGGCAAATAACCAGCTGGAAACTCTTTTTTTTTTTTAATATTTAGTATTGCTTGATTTACTGTTTGGAGTTTTTTTGGTAGACACAGCAGACAGTTTCCAAAACAGCTCATAGACTTTTAACACATCCTCATTTTAATAAAGTTCAGTTCCTGATTTTATGTACGTTCTGGCCTCACCACAAGAAGTCCACATTCAGAAGATTACAACAGTATGAAATTTTTATGGCTGATAATAAAAATCAGTTTCTTACTGCTTTGAATAGAACTTTTTAAAAAAATAACTTTCAAATATGGCCCAAAAAATCTTGCTCCATGGTAGTTTTAATGAGTACCAGATTCATCAGGTAACCTACAACCTGCAGCATTTAAAATATACTTTTGAGAAGCGTGAGGAGTATATCCTTGCCTAAGCGGAAGAACTGAATTTATTCAGCAAGAAAGCGTTCAATCCGGTAAGAAACTTTTACTTGCAAATGACTTGAATAAGTGATTTCCTTCTACCGAATACATGCATATTGAAAGATGCCGCCTGATCCTGCTGCTTCACTAAAAAATTCATCCTTAAGAAAACTATCTGCTGGGCTGAAAAAATCTCAACAATAATCACTAACTGTGGGAAAGAATTGGGTATATTCCCTTAGTGTTGCCATTAGTGTTTCTCAAACCTTTCTTGGAGGGATTTTTTTTTATGCAAAGAAGAGAACAGTTTCTTTCTTCAGTCTTTCATTTCTTTGAACTTCCTAACAGGGAGGCCGGTTGCAAGGTGTCTGACTCGCATCTAAACTGAAACTGGGCAAAGACCACTGCTTGTTTTCAAACACTCCTATGAATAATCAACATCCACCGGAAAGCACTTGGTATTCGCAGGCTGAAGGCTGGATTTGGGCAGCAGAGCTGAAAGGTGGTTTATTCTACTGCTAGATTCTGCCAGCTGTCATGTCTGAATAAATTAGAAATCTACCCAAATCATTTTCTAAATTGCCTATGAATTTAGGTTAGTATGCATGGAAATAGTATTTATCTTTAATTTCTAAATTATTTTACATCCAAAATACTGATAAGACATTAGGACTGCATAGGTAAAGCAAATGTCTGGTTAAACCTTACGAAGGCTTGTAAATATTTACTAGATACGTACTTCACATCTTCTGTAGATTGTGGTGCAAATCTAACTAACGGAAGGCGTTATGGATCAGACTGTGAGGATTTGCAAATACTACCAGTAAACCAGATGCTGAGCTAATACCGTAAACATTTAAACTTTTGAGTGTCTTAGCTCTTAAAACTCTGTAGTCTGAACTTATATTCATAAAAGTTCCCCCAGCTCCTTTGTTAAACTGGCAATTAAAGCTGACCTGATTAAGAAGACCTGCTTTCTCAGTCTTGTTGGTAGGACACTGATTAGAAAGCCTGGGAACCCTCATGCCTATCCAAGCAGCGATCTCTCCCCGGGAGATCACTGATTAATTAACGAGTGTGTTTACCTGTGCATGCGTGTTTGGGCAGATTAGCCTTTGCACATAGCATGGCGGAAGGGACAATGACAGCTACTGGAATGCTGCATCCCCGAACTTTAATGATAGCATAGCATAACCTTCACACAAAAGTCCTACCCAGCCACATCTGTACCTTTTCAAGGTGTCACCTGTGCTCATGTTTTCCTTAAATCATCACCTGTTCTTAAGCAGGAAAACTTAAGCTTTTTACCTTGTTTTTTTTGAACATACAACACTAAAAGATGAAAAAAGATGCTTGGATGGATCATGCAAGGAGTCAATAAATATGTAGAATATTTGTAGACATGTATTTACTATATATATTTAGTTAATAAGCTTCACAGGCTTCCTGAAAGAGACCTATTTTAAATCAGTGACTATCTTTAAAGAAGCTGAATTATGAAGTGACCTAATGTAGGTATCTGGTGTTTCTTAGAAGTAAAGTATTTTCTCTTTTAAATATTGTCTCATGACAGTATTATGGCTAAGAAGTTTAACGGGGAAATTGCTGTTTGTGAATCTGGGAGTTTGGAGAACTTTGCGTAGGGAGACTACATTGTTACTCATTTACAATTTGGGATGAGTATGTGTAAGACTCAAACAAATTGTTAAAAAAATAACCTCCAATCCCATTAAAATGAAGAGCAAACTCTCAGTGAGGTCAACATTTCATTCGAAGAGATGCTTTCCAAGTCTGTGAGGTCTGACAAGGTGACTATGTTGTTAGGAGATGTGCTGATAGCCGCTGAGATAACATAAAACAACTGTAACTTATTTGAAGGAACGAGGACTAAAAGTGATCCCAGTACAAACAGACTCAGTGGCAAATGAAGAAGTAATTCTTGGTACGAGGTATAACATGCTGATCATACCAACGTGTTCCAAGAAATATTTTGCTATAACTATGCAATGGGAAATTGCATCTTTTTTGATTTTGCCATTTGTGACAAACCCGTTGGTGTTCCCAGGGGAGAACACCTTTTTCAGCAAGCTCTGCTAACAGTGTTCTGAAGGAAATCCCTTTACGGGTTCCAGCAGCATTTAAGAGGAAGACTACTTTTATTAGTAGTATGTTTTACTATTAAATGAAATGTACCTGGCCGAGGAGGACTTCTGTAATACTTAAGATCCCTTAATTCACAATATGTGTGCTCCAGCCTACAGAGATGATGAGAGCTCTCTTCTACCTCAGAACCAGGTAGCAAAGAAAAAAAAGCCTTGCTGGAGTTAGTTGGGGCGGGAGATTTAGACCTGTAGAGAGTCGGATTCAGTCAGTGATCCCTAAACCCCCTGTTATTTCATAGGGTCACCTTTGTTCGTAGGGTAAATTCTGTTTCCTGCTCTCCCCGTGGATCTCCTCGCACAAAGCACGCATGCTTGCAGTTTGCATTGGGAGGATTCAAATTCCCCCATGCTAAATGCTTAACAGAATACTATTCTTCAGAGGCTTTGTGCTTTTCCCTTCTCTCTGTCCCTTTTACCTTCTCCCTGTAAAAAGAAAATCACTAAATGTGTGTACGTAATGGTTTCAACTTTAAAAAAGTAATTGGATTCTCACGGAACTTCTTTCCCTTGCTCCACCATTTCCAAGCGACGTGATGTGTGGCCATTTCTTGTCTGTTTCTCATATCCCTTTTGGAGATCCTAACGCTGCTCTGCATCACTTTTATAGACCCAAACCCACATGGTTTTGATTTGGCAGAGAATGGCAGGTTGCTCCATAGTAGAAAGGATGTGGGTGCTTGTTTTTGGATTTTGTTTGGTGTTTTTCAACTACATCTCCTGTTGTTTCCATATTGAATTTGCTAAAAAGTGTGCTACACGTTTTGTTATGTTGATCCTTGAGATGGAGCTGCCCTGACAGCACTTCCATCCTCCTCTTATCTGATTCAGATGAGGAAGACTTTTGGGTATTTTTCATCCAACCTCTTACTGCAAAGCATTAATCAGTTTGGGAGAAAATTGAGACTTGTAGGTCCAACTCAGTTTACACCGAGACCCCTTTTACTGACAGCACATTAAGAGCTGAATAGTGTCTGTAAATCTCTGTATCAGTTTTAAGGCTCCTTTACATTATTACAGTGCTACAAAGATGACTAATGAGTATTCACTGCTGGCAAACTACAATTAAGATTGAGTAGGAATCTTCATCTTTAAATCACCTGTTTTTCAGTTACTCATATCTATGAAATAAATGTTCATCGCCCCCACCTCCTGCAAATCTTCTCATATCAGTCCCTACACTAACATTTTAGGGAGAATTTAGGCAGAGTTCAGCCATTTTCATGTTATGCGAAGCATAAAGAAAAAGGCTTTGTGTCTTCTGGATTACCTGGTAGAACAATTGACTCTGAAAAGCCCAAATATCGTTTGCTTCATGGTTCTAATTTGGAAAGGAAAACCAAAGAGTAAAGAAAAGCAAACTAGACTTTCCCGGCTTCAGAATATACTAAAGTAATCCATTCTCTGCATATCTATAAGGTTTTTCTTTCAGTTTCTCATTCTGCCTCAACCCTTTCCCTGGGAAGGGCTAAAAAAAAGCAGCAGCAAGAGGTGGTTTTGAACACCAGCGCCTTGCCTAAAACATCGTCCTTCATTAAAAGCTGCTGTGGTTGCAAAACAGCCTTGAAAACATGAACTAAGTGTGACCTGGGCATAGATGTCTGCTTAAGTTTTCACAGAGTCTGAAATAATAGCTCTGAGAGATGTGAGCCTCATCTCAACAGGGTTTTCTCTCGTATGCCTTCTATTTTAAATGTGAACTTTCTCTACTCTTCCTGCTCTTCCAGGCAGGCGAGGTTTAGTCACTGCATCCAGTCAATTTAAGGCAGTGACAAGGCGCGTATTTACTTTGGGAAAGAAACCCTACCTATTTTTTCTCCAATTACGATAAATTCCAAGGGACCTGATGGTCATATCTGCCAAGACAGACACCAGTCCAAGAGACTGGCTGGAATCGCACAGTAGATCAGCCCAACAGGCCGCCAGACTACTCTTCTGTCTGTAAAAGTGGCAAGCATCGGCAGCTTAAGAGAAGAGAGAAACAAACTCACAGCAGGCTTATAAAATATTTAGTATAATCCAAAATACAGATTTACTGAAATCCTGAAACACAGCTCTTTTTTTTTTTTCTTTCACTTTCTGGTACACTTCAAAGGGAATTTTTCCACAAATAAAATGTCTCAATATTTGGATAATCATCCAATCCAAATTCAATCTTGCTAAATTATTGGCCATTTTTTTCAGCAATGGGTTTCAAATTCTGTGTGCCTTACAGTACGTACGAGGGGAGAGGTGGAGGGCGGAAGGGAGGTAGAGAGACAGCTGTACAGGCAAGATTGCGATCGTCTGCCTCCCCACGTGCGCTTTCTCATGCACCCAGCTTTACTTGCTGCTGCTGCTGAAGCCCTTTCAGCTCTGCGACATCCCTGCATGCGGGATGCAGCCAGCCTGCCTCGGGCACGGCAGCCGAGCAGCTCTGGGCGGCTGCAGGAGGGTCCCTGCCTTGCTCTTCCCATCGCTGTGGGTGGTGTGGGGACGGGCATCGCTCCCCCGCTCTCCCGGCCCTTTAGTCCAGCCTGATCCTATCAGAGAAGTTAAATTTGACGGCGGGCGAGTTAAAGCTGCCTGCTTCAAGGGCCTCTCATGGTATACAAAAATAAGCATTTGATGAGTTTTTTCTAAAAAACCACTGAGCTCTGTGAAGTGTGTGGTTATGTATGAAGGATGCAAAGCCCCAAGCAATTTCATTTACTTCAGTGGGAGTTTCAAATACTGGCTGTTTAAAAACAGCCAAGAATTATTGCAAAATGAAGGCTTTGAAAGTAAGTACTTGAAAACCAAGAAAATCCCAAAGCTAAGGTTCTGCCGCAACATTCACTCGTTTTCGCTGCGCATCTATACGTTTTATTATTATTTAATCTATATCCTGTGAGGTGTGTAGGATGTGTAATGAAGCCAAAACGATATTGTTTTGGAAAAGTTAGTATTTGTAACTTCCTGACTTTTGAATATTTGATTTTTCAGCCTCAGTAATGCACTAATGCTGTTTTATGTGTTTAATACATAATTGGCTTCAATTTTTTTCTTCTTTTTAACTGTTGGTACGATGATTGGTTTCTGTAGGCAGAGCAAAAAGAATGACCTTTTTTCTTTGGCCCAGCACCGCAGAATCTATTCCATGCATTTTTTCATCGCAATAATACTACGCTGGTGAGGGGAAACTTGGTGTAGGTGGGAATTTGGCCGCTCGGTGCCTCTCAGATGAATGCGACTTGGAAGCCTCTCAAGGACGGTGTTGTTTTTCCTTCCTCTCCAAACTCCCTGGAAACACTCGAGGGTATAAGGCTTTTCACGCGTGTTTACGGGACGGTGTGTGTAATCCAGCGCCTGTCCCCACCGCACCGCCTCTTAAGCGGTTTGGGAGACTGTTTGTTTAGCACTCGATAAAAGTAAAAGCTAAACAGATTACCGCAGGTTACAGTAACATTTATGACCTTTAGCATGAAAAGCTCCACGTTCCTGCTGCGCATAAAGAACGTAAAAGGGATGTTAAGACGTAGAAGTTAACACGCTCGCCGGACTCATCCGAAGAGCTTATTTTGCAGCGGGTGAGGGCGTCCGTCAGGTAA